TTCATTGTCGTAATTTTGGGGGCATGAACAATGTACATGTAATAGAAGACTGGTTTGTAACCAGAACGAATTACTCTCTCAAAATCTGAAATATGTGTGATTACTGTCTGGAATCATGTCCCGTTCTACTCTGTATGACACAGTGCCTTACGTACGTCTGAACCTTTGACCCGGTACTAAAATAACGACTCCGAATAATACCCATCCTCCTTCTATTGTGGTGCAACACAAGGACATCATCTATATATAAAACGAACTCTTTCGTGGACAGTACACGGCGAAGACACGGTGGGAACGCTTTCAGTTGTAGATGGTCGAATAAACATGGGTATGAAATAGATAAAATAATCTTATCTAAAATAATCTTGTCTGAAATATCCAAGTATTTTTAGAATTGTAAATAGTGACATTCTTCGCTCCACGCCAGCAAGACTATATTATACGGGGGGTCGCATGTGGGTTATTACTATTTCATTTTTTCTACGCACTATATGTATTAAGATAACTGCCGTGATAATGTCGGTGCAATTTTCACATTTTTAAAAACTATAATTATGGCAAGATATTGACTTAGTTATTAACGATCCAAAATTATTAATAAAAGGTCTACACTTTTGGTGCTGTACTCTCTCTCTCTCTGTCTCTCCCTCTCTCTGAAAACGCTAATACATATACGGGTCACTATCAGTTTCCTAATTGTAGTTTGGTCTCTAGTTTTTTCTCCTAAAGGATCAATAATTATATAAAAACGGTTTGCGTGTAGCTGCCGCCACCTTGATATCAGCCTTCGTTTCCCTGGTTTCACACGATTGCCCGTGTTCTCAGAATAAACATGCTCAGTGGACACACAGATACTAAAACCCGAGTTGATAATTCTCCTTCAGATACTTCACACCTATAGTCCGCAAAATAGAGCTTGGAAGTCGTGCTTCAGTGTATTTATACAGATGCTTTTGTATTCGTATTTATTGTGTGTTATAACAATGAATAGGAATTTTCCATTAGATTTTCACAAACATTTCCCTGGCCAACGTTGCACATATCTGACCATCGAGAAATTTTGCTTTAAACATTAATTTAAATTATAAGAAAGAAAGAAAGAACGACCAGCTGACCTCTGTTAGAGAGTAGAAAAACATCAAACAAAAATGTATCTAATGCAGGGTCCTTTGCATGTCTAAAAAAGCTGGAATATCCTTTGCCATCAAATGAAAGAGAAAGCGATGAATATGAAGGCCTTTTACTTTGGCTCGTGACAGTTGATGCATTTGTAGTAAGAGTATATACCTATGTACAGAGTTTTAATACTAGGAGATAATCAGGTAAGGATATTAGGCCATATGAATCGTATATTTTCCCTGCCAAAGCCAATCGATTTTAACGATGTAGTCACGGCTGCGAGCTTGAAAGAATCTGATCCTTCCTCTAGGATACTCACGGCTCTATATGCTTTCTAAGAACAGTGTGCACAAACAAGAACTTGTCCAATTTGTCATCTGTCATGTTAGGTGAAACCTGTCCAGAGCTTCATTACTGGCCATAGTAGGCGGGAATTGGTGGCCTTAAATTAAAAACAGGCCTTCGATTTCATTTTGAAGTTTTTTTCTTGTTTCAGGCCTTAGTTCTGTAGTGTCACTGTTCTACTCAATAATGTCACAGTGTCAATTGAACCTTTTCCGTCCGAAAATTTTGTCTTTTTTTTTTGACAAAGCTGAAGCAAGATATGCAACTTCACATTTGTCCTCTATTTAAAGTAATTCTATTATAATTATTATAACCATACGGTTATTCCAGTAATTCGTTCTGGTTACATATATAAGCGCGTTTCTCCCTTCTAAGATTTTTCTAAATTCTTTTAATAATTGTGCTTAAAACACATGAACCATAAGTTCTAGCAAGTCAATTTAGTCTTTACGGCCTAATAAGCTATCATGGCATTGTCGTCATTGGGTATCATGTTGCTAAGAAACGACATGGTATTCTCCTGCGACTTTGTCAAGCATCGATAAACCTTGGCAATTATGAGTTCTTGTTTTAGATTGAAACAATCCGTTTTTGGACAAATACGGTCTCTATATATGTAGCCTTCACCTGCGTCTGTCGATGTTGTCGCCGAACACATTTCACTGTCATCGCTGGATCACTAACATATAGTCCTCAAACTGACTAGAGTGATTTAAGGACTAAAATACAGGTTGAGTTTGAAAACCAGCCTGATTGGCTCCCTCCTGAAGTCAAAAAGTTTTGTGAATTTTTTATTTCCCCCACATTTGCATTTTTCAGAGTGTGACTGTGAATTCCCATTGGCCTTGGACTCTGTGCTTGTTACTCGTTCTGGGTTGCCATGTTAACTGTAGTGCATAATTGAATATTAGTGTTTTAACGTTGTTTATATCGTATACACAGGGGCAGATCCAGGATTATTTCAAGGTGGGGGGGGGGGAGGGTCGGAACGACAGGCCTCGGATGCGAAGCCAACCATCACCTGCTTGGCGTTGGATTCAGCTAGACAAAATTCTTCGAGGGGAATATTGGTGTGATATACTTTTTCAGAATCTCTGACACCCCCCTCTCAATCTGCCACTAGTATATTATTCTGCCCCCAAACTGATAAAGAAACGTTTTTGTGCACGGTTGTCTTCAATGTCAATACGAATCCGTTATAGTCCACTAAAGCTAGGCGCCTTCAAGTGCTTCAATGACCTTTTCCCAGCCTGGTTGGTGGCTGTATCTCCCCCGGCATGGAAAGAGAGAGATAGAGCTGCACACCATGTTTTACATGTTATCAACTAGATAAGATATCCCTCTTCCTACATGGCCATAAAACATTAATATCTGGACAAAACGACAAAATTTCCGAAATAGTGTCGGATTTCTTAATCAAAAATGTCTGAATCTTCTTCTATTTCTGTTCTGGCGCCTACCACTCTCACCTGATGGCCTATTGCCCCCCCCCATAATTACCTTTCCCCCATGCCCTGTCCCTCACTCCCCTCTAATGCCACTCATGTCCTCGTCACTGTCTTTTCCTTGATTATTATTATTATTATTATTATTATTATTATTATTATTATTATTATTATTTAATTTCAAAGGTGAGCATGTAATGCCTAGGCGAATTGCCACCTTCAATTTTACTGCAACAATATTTAACTCTCTTGAGGATAAAGTTGTTTAAAAAAAAAAAACATGTTATCAGCGTCTGGTGTAGGCCCCGTTTGAGAGATGATATTGTTTCTTAGTGACTATCAAACATTTTGATTTGCTTGTAATCATTTATTAATTTGACACGTCAATTGGTGTTGGGCACGCCAAACCACTTTGTGTGGCAGATAGATTGGTGTTGTTTAGATAGGAGAAAATAACTTTACGTTTTCCGGTAATAAGTCGTTAGTGATCGCATGGGTGAAACTCACTTATATTTATTTGTTTCTGACGAGGGAGCAGTTAATTAATTAAGTGCTTTTAGGCAATTACTTGGTTGATCCCCAAACCACTTAACTCTGTATAGGATTTAGTTTCGAACCACTTAGTGTAAAATTGCTTGAATTCAATTTCTGTGTTATGTGTTTTGTTTTCGGTATCACTTCGAGAGACATTTAATCTCTGATCAGAGGTTATGGAAGCTACAGGTGAATGTTGAAAACAAAAGACATAACACGAACATCTATGCTGGAGGAAACAAACTGGCTTATATCAAAGTTGTGATCTCTTCTCTCGAAAGAAAAAGAACAAAAAACGCTAAAAGGGCAAGGCAACAACCACCTGGGCATCAAAACGCTGCCCCATTTGATATTGATTGGTTTTTGCTTTTAGCTGCAGTTTGAGATACATGACAATAAGTGTAATCTGTACATGTGCCCGTCAATCAGTGTAATCTGTACATTTGCCCGTCAATCAGTGTAATCTGTACATGTGCCCGTCAATCAGAGCCAATTTGCCAAGGAAGAGCGTGCAGAGCGAAGCCAATTATGATCATGATTATCAATATATATATATATATATATATATATATATATATATATATATATATATATATATATATATATATATATATATATATATGAAGAGAGAGAGAGAGATGTTAAAAATATTATGGACTGAACACAGTAGTAATGAGGAAGTAATAAACAACCCTAAAAATAAAGTATTATTATTATTGAACACCGCCAAGAAAAGAAAATTGACTTATTTTGGGCATGTTATAAGAATAGAGAAAAGACAATTTGCAGCGGTTATTTTTAGAAGGAAAGTTTAATGAGAAACTAGGGAATGGAAGACCAAGAACAACATCGTTGGGCAACATAAAAAATGGACCAATTTAAAACATAGTGAAAGCATACCAATGGCACAAATTCGAAAGGCATGGCGACCCATGACAGCCAACGTGCTGAGTGTGGATGACACCCAATCTCAGCTTTCATTCATACTAACGCTATTTCGGACTTGCTTGTCGCCAGACAATTTTGAAGACAGGGGAACGTTAATATATTCGATACTGCGATTTCTGAATTAAATACTCATTTGCCTACGCTGCGTATGTCCTTGCAAATGAGAAACTTCTGCCATGGACATACAGGATTTTGTCTAAAACAGTCTCTGAGTTGATTACATGTCATGAACAAAATGTCAAAGCCAAATCCTTAAAAGCGCAATCCACTTGACAATATTCCTAGGTTTCCATTTGTAGTTTAGCCGTCACACGTTCAACTGTAGATATGTACTCGCGGTGCTTCAGGGCATTTCAGTGCGATTTCCCATTTTTAATTTAAACACTGCTTGGCCTGCTTTTACTGATGCTTAGAATATGTGGTCCCATGTTTTTTTGCAAATATCAAGTTTTACGGCATCGTTCGGATTTATTTTTGCATTGTTTTAGTTTAATCGATTTCACTCTAACTTTAGCCGGTGCGATTTTAGATTACGATATTTTATTAAATAACGTTAGATTAGTTTTATCCTTCAATACGTTTATCTAATGAAGTCATTTCTTGCTCTAGACATGACAGACAAGGGGAACCCACCGCCAAGTTATGATCCAGGACAGAACCAAGGATACCCTCCACAGCAGGGGTACCCTCCACAACAAGGGTACCCCCCTCAACCCGGGTATGCCCAGCCAGGGGCGGTGATGTACAGGTAAGTACCCCCATCCTCTATGTAGCCGCCCCATCTTTTTTCTCCCATCCTCCTCCTCCTCTCTCTCTCTCTCTCTCTCTCTCTCTCTCTCTGAATGTGTTGTGGGTTTTGGTAAGATGTGGTAAATGCAATAAGTAAATAATAATAATAACCATTTTTCAAACTCTAATTGGAAATAAACACCAAGGAATTTATCAATATGCATTTCCTCTATATGTAGCCGCCCCATCTCTTCCCCCACCCTCTCTCTCTCTCTCATTGTATTTATGTCCGTTTACACTAAAACAGTTTTAGATTAAATATAGCATCATATTGGTATAGTTAGCTAAATTGTAGATTTTGGTAAGATTTGGTAAATGCAATAAGTAAATAATAATAATAATAATAATAATAATAATAATAATAATAATAATAATAACCATTTTTCAAACTCTAATTGGAAATAAGCACCAAGGAATTTATCAATATGCATTTCTTTTTTTTTCTGCTTACGTATGTTTAAGGTTTTTATTTTAATGTATTCTTTAATCAGTGCCATTCATTGTTTCACTGTATTTCCCAGCCCTGGTCAACAAGGCGTGGTGACAGGACAGCCCTATGGCGGCGCCACCGTCGTGGTCACCCAAGCAGCGCCGCGTCCGGCAAGCTATCTGGGTTTCTCCATATTTGTATTGCTTTGTTGTAACTTGCTTTGTGGAATCATTGCCTTAATATTTTCAAGTAAGTATTTCATTGATGGTGAATGGGTATGTCTTTAATTTATCTGTCCAATATTTCTAATATAACTATAATTTTAATTGAAATTAAAATGGATTCCAATAGGCTATATAGTGAATATAACATGTAGGCCTACGTTTGAAACGGATATTACCACGTTTCGACCTTATCTCAATACAAGACTTTTTCAAATCACCTTGGCCAAATACCGTAGTCTATAAAACAAATGGATGAATAAAAAAAATTCAGTTTTAAATTACTCTCTATCTCTTCATTTCTTCTTTCCAGTGCTCACCCATCTTTCCCTATCTTTATTGTTTTGGCTCTATCTGTTAACAAATAGATATATAAATAAAATTATATATTTTCTTATGAAATGATCTTTGAAATATTATTTATTTATTTGAAATGGTATTTATTTATGATAATATTTATTTATTTATGTATATTCGTTTGTTTATTTATTTGAAACGATATTTATTTATTTGTTTATTTATTTATTTCAGTAATGTCCAGCAGTGCAGCAGACCGTGGTGACACGGAGACAGCACGTTCTCACGGCAAGGTGGCGCTGGGGCTTAACATCACCGGTATCGTGTCTTCAGTCATCATTGTGGTCGTCGTGGTCATCTTGGTCTTTACCGCCCCCTATTTATTCTGGGCAGCAGCCGCGTCCGCTATCAATACTTACGGATAGGCGTGGCTGGCAGGATATGCGTACAGTATAGGCGGATATACGTCTATGTACGCACAAATGTTTGCATTTGAGGTTTAAATTAATTTTTTTTTAACAATTGATATTGTAACTAATATTTGATTAAGTCTATTGATAGGAATAACGGCGCGAAAAGAATTAAGTGCACTTTTTTACACATTTATGTATCATGGGCACACATAGCTGATTATTAGGGCCTACTTATGAAATGACTTCCATACGATTTCTAAAAACAATTATCTCAGTTTGGTAAGCAAGAGCTTACAGTCATATAAATTTTACTTGCGGCTTTTGCGGGCACAGTTATTCGATTATTCGGGAAACTTCGACAGATTCTGTCGTTTGGATAGGCCTACCGAATATTCAGATCCATTCAGATGATTCTCAGGTTGACTGAAAGTGATTTATTTTAGTTATCATAAAATGCTTGGGCTAGACACGCACGCTTCTATTTGAAGACCGATTAGCCTATTTGTATATCAGCGCAACTGTGACAGAACATCGACCATTGGAATAATTTTGAAAAAGATTTAGGCCCTGTCATGTGAAATCAACTTTCAGTCTTTTTATGTGTGATACTTTCCATTTCCCGAAGGTTTGGTTTGATTTCACATAAATACATCACTGATATTTAAATTTGGCTTGTGATGAGTTATGATGAGACAGTTAAATCTTCCATTTTTCTTTATAAGATAGTCTATTATGGCCAATAGGACGATGCGTGTATCTTTAAATGTCATGCAATTAAAATGTGACCTGTTGACAAATGAAATCACCAAAATACCTCCATATATAGGCCTATATATATTAAGTAAGAAGAGAATTCGAAAGAAAAAAAACCCAAAGGAATGCGAAGCGATTATTCAAAACCCAACAGTTTTATCTTGCATTTTATTTTTTCTTTAATATTTCACAGAAGATGGATGAAAACAGTGTGATCAGTAAAATGTTTTAGTCAAACTTCTGGGTAACCTATTTCAATTTTTATTCCAAGATTTTATACATAAACAGATAATGTGTAGTATATTTTGTGTATTGTGATGTACTTAATGTGTGTGGACCTTCGTTAACATTCCCTCCATTACAGTGACTGTAGTACGGCACTTAACTTTATACTGTGGTGATATATAAAGTAGAAGAAGTTAGATGATTTATTACTCTAGTTAACCAAGATTTTCTAATCCATTAACATTATATAGTTTTGATAAGTAGACTTTTTTAAAATCTTAGAATGTTCCTCAGACATTCAAAAGTCGCATCGCGGTGGTAGGCTACATGTAACGTGACATCTGATATAAAGATGTGTTGCTTGCCAACAGACCACCTTTTTATCTTAACTTAAAACAACATGCACTTGTCGACAGAGGAGTAGGCCCTACTTAAGACTGCGTAGGCTTTCAATGTAATGAATATTTTCTGTAAAGAAATCACTTATTTTCTGAATTAACACTATCTGGAGTAGGCATTTCAAAGAATGTAGATATTTTTGTAAAGTGTATTTTGCTGATGAGATAATCAAAGAAAAAGAGCTCCATGAAGACGAAATGATTTGCTAGGAATCAAACACACACCAATGTTACTTCTATTTTTCTTTAAACCGTTATTATTATCTCCATTTCTTGTATGAATCATAGGCCTCTAGGCCTATTTTGTAAATTTGAATGTTTTAAAAGTGCAGTTTTCATGTGTTGATGCTTTATCGACGGATAGATTGTCGACTATGCACAAATTTTATTGTCATCATCAAATAAAAATATTGATCGCATACCTTGTATAGGCCTTTTTTATTTTACTAAAAGAGAGAGAGAGAGAGAAGGAGGGAGAAGGAGGGGGGGGGCGGTAGGCAGTCTCCCATAGGACGGACAAAGCTTTAGGCCTACAGCTTTTAAAATACTTTGAAAAATTAATCGTTAAAAGCGTTTTTTTTACATTCAAATTTAGACCTTTCTTTTTCTTTCCCATTTTATGTCGTTTGGGTTTAGGCTACCGAGAAAAGTCAATCTACTGGTATTTATACGATTTAACCATTTCTCGTGCTCATGTCTCTAAATTTGAGTTAAATAGGCCTATGGGAGAGAGTAGGCCTAGGCTACAGCCACATTTTGCAACAAAACGCATTTTACAACCGGCAGAAACAAATAATAATAATGAGAAGAAGAAGAAGAAATACCCAAAATCCGGTCTCGGTTGCATTTTCAATCACAACGAGGCCAGCTTAGTGCCATCCCATAATATCACTGCTGTAGTAAAAATCGGCAGCTTGTGGATTACTACGACAATACACAAGTAAGTCTCGATTTATGGCCATATTTTAAATGTTAAGTATTTGGATAACAGTTGTTAAGATGTTTTTAATATTGTCAGGAAATTAGATGCAAGTGTTGCTTTTTCCCTTCTATTCATCCGTAAGTCTACAATATTTATACGCCGGTAATCTCGGATGTAGATTGTTTTAATTTTTTGTTAAATATCTTAGTAATGATATTTTTCACTGATGATTTATTGTTCTTATTACATAGAAGCTCAATGAAAATAGATTGGACGGTTGTTTTACATTAAACTTCTGAAGCTTTCTTAAAAATTGTTTATCAATTGTTTATCAGTTGTCTATATGCCATTATCTCTCACATTTGGGTAATCTGGGAAATCTAAAATAATTGAAATGACGAATGAAGTTACTAATTTAAGTTAATAATTGTCATGTGTCGTCGTGCATGTTTTATAGTTATGGCCAACCAAATGCCGCCTCAGCCGAGTCCAACTTCACCACAACCTCAGCTGCAACCAATGCAGCCAGGTCAACCAGTGCAGCCAGGTCAACCAGTGCAGTATTACCCCCCTGGGCAACAACCGGGGCAAGGGGCCGTCATGTACCAGTGAGTTTAACCCCCCCCCCTCTCTCTCTCCAAGAAGAAAAGCTATTTCTAAAAATAAATCGAACCCACTCTTATATTCATTAAAACATATTAACTAGTGTTTGCCCCCATTTTCTATACCCCAGCCCCGCCCCCCCCCCCTCTGATCTCCTCTCTGATTGTGTTAAAGGGATAAAAACTCTTCGCATGAAATCCATATTTCACAATAAATACATTGTAAACAACTCATAGAAATATAATAAATTGTTTTACCACCAAAACGGCAGCTAATGATTATTCTGGAATTTGTGCTTGCCATTAAATCATGTGACCCCCATAGTTGGCTACACTCTGTAATAACCTCTTAAGAGAATATTACAAAGAAGCCAAACTTTTTAGAATAAAACCAGGGACTCACTTTGAATGACGAAATGAATTCATTTACCATTGATAAATATGGGGAAATTGTACTTTAACCAATGAAAATTCATTTTTGGCCAAAGTGAACAGTAGTTATCCCTTTAACCCGTGTATATCCCTATCTTCCAGACCTCAGCCCGGCGCCCAGGTCATCATGCCGGCCACTGTGGTGACCACGCCAAGACCCTATAGTTACCTCTACTTCTCCATCTTCGTGATGCTCTGCTGCAACTTCTTATTTGGAATATTGGCCCTGATTTTCTCAAGTAAGTATTTTTTTATTTACAACATGCTTTAAATTTGGTCGCTCTTCTCCCCTCTGCAGAACATCTACTCTACAGACTTCTAGTACAAGAGGACAGGTCGTCATCTTACATAGACACTAGACAAAGTTGTCTATATAACGTGTAGACGGCTTTATCCATATGTAAAGTACTCGTACATGTAGTAAATTAGAGACATTGAAGTCATTTTTGGAACAACATTTTTAAAAAATTATGTTCCACATATTCTACGTAATTTGAAGAAATGCTGGACGTGTTGTGTGGAAAGTAGTATTAAAACAGTGAATTTCCTAAGTAAGTTCTCTCTCTGTATCTTGTTCCAGTAAAGTCTCGGAGTGCGACAGACCATGGAGACACCGCCAGCGCCAAGTCCAGCGGCAGCGTGGCCCTGGGCCTTAACATCGCCGGCATCGTGATCACGCTGCTCTGTGTCATCGTTGCTGTGGTTCTGCTGGTCACCAGCCCTTTTATCTTCTGGGCAGCCGCGGTCAGCTCCTACTCCGACTCCGTGGGTAATACCTCGTGGGGGGATTCTTGGGACAGTTTCTGGACGACCATGCCAACCACCTCGGCTTGAATGACCGAAAAAGTGACCACGTCGGCTGTATAAATAATTCAATGTGACAAGAATGGTAGTCTGTTAAGAATTTTACTCTGTTCCTCATGACTATTTGTACATGTACAGGTGACATCCGTTCCATATACTAACCCTAATACCTTAATTAACCCTAACCAGTACTTATCATATTGGAACCTGGACTACATTCCTAGGACTACCATTTCTGTCACATTGGAACGTAGTTTACTAGAGAGAAGACAATAGACAGCCACATCTAACACAAGTGATATGTTTTCAACAGAAAATAAAACTACAGGGATTACGCACGTAGTGTTATGAAGACAAAAATAGACAACAAACTTGTTCGATTTTAAGTACCAGCCATTGAGATACTAACTGCATTTATTTGACCTTATTAAACGAAAGAAGTACCAAATATTTCAAATCGGTTACACGGGTATTTAGTGTACAATGCCGCAATCGAATACGTACGAAACCGATCTACATATAATGATAAGTAAAATTAATAAAATATTTCAAGGCAATTTTCCCTTTGATAATTTCATATTTGATTTTCTTTGGATATGGCATATTATTTTGTTATAGAAATACTTTTTTAAATTCACTGCTGTTACAATTTTTTCAAATAAGTGTTTTAACGATTTTCAAGGAGTCGTTTTGCCTTGCCCCACGCCTGCGTGTGTTTTTTGATGCTCGTAATACTTTAAAGTACGTCTCGCCCTTTAACTCTGTTTATATTTGAGCCTACAGACAAAATCTGTTAAAATATAAGCTTCTGTAGAAGTTTTAAAATATCAAGGACTGGATGAATATGATTGTAACAAATAACGACTGCTTAACGTAATATTTTCCTCTACAAACAAGTGATTCACCAGCACGGCATTTACAAAGAATTGTACAACGTTACTTGTTGATTTTTTAATATTTGAAGACATTTTCCAATTTTGTAATTCACTTTTATGCATTAACGTAGGAGGTTAATAAATTATAGTTATTGTTGTTAAATGAGATAAAGATAGCTATCTTGAGAAAAAAATCCATGTAGAAACCTATTCCTTTAATAAAGTTTTATACATGGACAGAGTGTACCTTTTGATTTCAATAGCCGACAGATGTGTTCCATTTTGTCAGCCTAAAAATCAGTACAGTGCCGAGAAAGTATGCTTTAAAATTAGGACCTCTTCTCCCTTTTTTATTTAAACAGCGTTCGGACAATCTGTTAGATGCGGGTTAAGACTTGATCATTTGATGTCAGACGTCGGCCAGTCATCAGAGCTTGGTACAGTGGAACTTAAGGGAAAAAAAAAACAAAACAAAAAAAAAAAAAAAAAAAAAAAAAAAAAAAAAATCACGCATTTGCATTCAGGCGTTTGATAAAGAAACTACATGTATAACACCCTTAGAACGATATATTGGCGCCTCAGTAAAAATCCCCTGTGCGACAGATTAGTTGTATGGGGC